TTTCTATTTCTTGCTTTTTGAAGTATTTGCATCCTAATTGCTTTCTTGGTAAATCTTACATAAACTTCCCTTAGCAAGTTATTTCTCACTGCATATCTTGTGTAAACTTGAAATGCTTCATCTATTGCATCAGCCATCTTCTCTTGGGTTAACTCGAGGACATTTGTCAAAATTTCTGTCATTTTTTGTAACAGGTTTTCACCTTTTTCTTCTTCTATGTTTTGGAATCTTATGAAGAATTCTGACCTTTCCATCTCCCAATTCAGTATTCCAATATTATCTTTTTCCACCATACTCAGTCTATTATCAATATCCCCAATTTTCTTCTCTCTTTGATCACCTCTTTCTTCAATTTTTGTAGTCTATCTTCATATTTCATCACCATTTGTTGAATTCTATCAATTCTTTCATCAGTTTTGACTGCTTTTTGTTCCATGTTTTCCGTTCGTTGTTTAATGTTTCCCGTTCGTTGTTCTATTGTCTCAATTCTTTTTTCCATGTTTTCTGTTCTCTTTTCAATGGTATCTGTTTTTACTTGCAGGTTCTGAATTCCTTGCATAATCATCTCTAAGGTAACTGCCTTCTCTCCCTCTTCTTTTTCCTGTTGCAACATTGCTTGTATTGATCTTTGTCCTCCTCCTGGTGAGGAGGAGGGTGTTGTTGTTGCAGAGCCAGTGGTTATTATTCTTTTACTCATCTCCAAATTATTCTGTATTATAATCCACTTGATATAAAATAATTGTAATCTAGAGTGACCATGAGGTGGTCAAAGGTAAAGAAAAAAAAAGAAAAAAAAGTCAATTATAATCCAAAATGACCATGTGGTGGTCCAAGGTAAAAAAAAAGTAAAAAGGTAAAAGAAAAGGAAAACAAAAAGGGCGAGGAAAAAAAGGGAAGAAGATTCTTTGGGGGAAAAGCCAAGAGTAAAATAAGAAGGCGAAAAGGAGACAAGGGGTAGGTCTACTATCAAAAATGTGAGAAGGAAAAAGAAAAAACAGAAAACCAAAAATAAAAATAAAAATCTTCAATCTTTTCTATGCCATAATCCAATTGAAAAAAACAAAAAATTGAAAACAACCAGATAAGGGACCCAACTGCACCGCTAAAAGGAAGTAAACACTGCCACCAACAAAAAAGAAAAAGAAATAGTTTCAAGGCTTCTTGTAAAGTAGAAGCTCTCTAAGCAAAAGAGAAATAGTTTCAAAACTTTTATAAAATGAAAGCCTTTTAGGATCACTCCAGGCTTACTCTTACAGTTGTTATCTATTCTCTCCAGGCAAAATTTCAAGGACTGAGAATTTCAGAGTGAACACCTGTGTAAATAACTCCTCTCCTATCAGTCTTGGCTGAGCTAGTAACATTGGAGAGCAACCTTCTTCCAAACATTCATTCACACCAAAAATAGAAACAAAGTTTCAAAGCCTCTAGGTGGCAGTGTTATTTATCCAAAACTTTCCCTCTCTGCATTGCATTCTCCACCTTATTAAAAGAAAAGAAAAAATAAATAAAAAGCCAAATGAGGAGAAAGAAAATAGTCCAATGTACTTTTAAGTAGCTATATATAAAAAGGTTCTTAAACAGTAGAGCAATAGAACTAAGTTATCAAACAGTCCAACAGAAAAGAAAAAAAGCAAGCCCCATTTAACACTGTGCTAAATAGAAAGTCCAGTCAAGCTTCCGAGAATAAAAAGGAGGACAAAAAGTAAAAACTTTCACTTTGGCTGTAGCCTTATGTTCGCCGCTTACTCTCTCTCATCAGTCTTTATTTTAGATTAATTGTCTTCATTTAGGGTGTTCTCATAAATCAGAAAAAAGGTAAAAATCTCACCAAGAATGAGACGTTCTCTCCTGCACTTTCACTTCCGAAGCTGTCAGCAGTTTCAACAGCCTTAATGGCTGCTTCCTAGCTGCTGGCAAAAGGGCTATTCCTGGCTCACCAGAGACTTTGCGGGTGTCTCTGGGATCGACAGGATATTCACCTTCCTATCACTGTCTCTTCAGGACGGTTTAGGTCCAGTTGGACCGTCCTGCGGCTGGAATTTCGGCGGCGGTCTCGGAGCCCCGAGAATGTCCATCGTGTCAGCTTCCTGGCCCAGTTTTTAACAGTTCAGTCAATGGCAGGCCAACTTCTGCAAAAGCCGGGATGAATTGCCTATAGAAATTGGCAAATCCAAGAAAGCTTTGTAACTGTTTGCGAGTACTTGGGGGTTTCCAGTCTAACACAGCTTTCACTTTCCCTAGATCCATCTCTATCCCCTCATTGGAGATGCGATAGCCAATATAATCTAGTGAGGTTTTGTGGAATTCACACTTTGACAATTTTGCGTATAGCTTGGCAGCTAGACGTTTTTCCAGGAGCTGTCATACTAGCTTCACGTGCTCCTCTAGGGTCTCAGAAAAAACTAGGATGTCATTAAGGTAAACGAGCACCCCTCAGTATAGGTGCTCATGTAGCACCTCACTTATGTATTGCATGAAGACTGCAGGGGCATCTTGTAGCCCAAATGGCATAACTTTGAATTGGAAACTGCCAAGGAGGCAGTTAAAGGCAGTCTTCCATTCATCTCCTTCCCTAATACATATGCGGTAATACGCCTCTCTCAAGTCCAGTTTGGTGAACACCTTGCCTTTAGCCAAGTGGTTCAACATATACTTCATGAGGGGTAGATGGTTGGCAATCTTTAAGCATATGGCATTTATCCTGCGCAAATCAATGCAGAGACGAACCCTTCCGTCTTTCTTCTCTTTGAAGAGCACGGGGCTGCTACTTCTGACTTAGCTGGTTCAATAAAGCCCCACTTCAAATTAATGTCAATGTACTTCCTTAATTCTACCATCTCTTTAGTAGTCATGGAGTACATTTTCACCTTTGGTAGGGTAGCCCCAGGTTTGAATTCTATCGCACAATCGGTGGGCCGATGAGGGGGGAGATAGTTACAATCTTCCTCACTGAAGACCCCTGCCAGGTCCCAGTACTCTTTTGGCACTTGCTGGATTCCTGGGGTTTTTTTGCCTGCTGCAGGAGCTGCAGGCTCTGGGCGGTCTGCTTTATTGGGTTTGATAGTCCCTGGGTGGCCCTCTGGCTTCACAGGTGGTAGTGGCCCAAAGCTTATGATCAATTTCCGAATGCCGTCCTCCCACTTTATGGTAGGTGTCCACTTGTCCAGCCATGCAAGCCCCAAGATAATTGATTCATGCAGCTACGATGAATCTGAGGAGTTCATAGTGGCACCCTATCTGCAACTTTACCAAGTCAGTAATTAGTTTGGCCAGGGCCCCTCCAATTAGCGTCCCATCCACCTGCTCAAACCAAATGGGATTGGTTAGGGGTCTTGTGCATATGCCTAGTTGTTCCATGATAGACATGCTGGTTAAGGATCGGGTGCAGCCAGTGTCCACAATTGCCTAAACTTCCCCTTCTACCCCCATCTTGGGCACTGTGAGCTTGGCTTTGATGGCAAAGGGGCGGATGGGTGCACTTACCATCGGGTCATTATCTCTACCTCTTCCTTCATCTGGGCTTGGCAAGGGCCCTTCGGCTGGGCCTCCACTGATCCCTGGGGAAAGGGTTTGCGTGTCTGAGGCTTGCCTGGCAAATTTAGCGGGTCTTTTCCCAGGCAGCTTCATTTGCCTCTCTGCTAGCTGAGGTTCCTGGAGGAGCTGTCCCTTCAGCACTTTTCCCTGTCTTGCTATTGGCAGGGACTCATCTTTGGAAGGGGGAGCTCTCCCCCCCTCCAAGCTTCCCAAGCTTTTTCCCCCTGCTGCTTTGTGAAGGGGGGCAAAGCCAGCACGCCTGACACTAGTTTTGTGCTGGCATGGGTGGGGGCGAGGAATAGGGTGGCTCAGCTGCTGTTCCCAGGTCTCCTGGTTCTCCCTGTTGGGGCATTGCGGCTGGGGCTGGAACAGGTTGGGGGTTCAGTCCCTGGGGTTGCCCTGTGCCAGTTATCTGAATTGGTGCCATCTGCTGAGGAGGGGCAGGCGTCCATGGGAATTGCACCCATCCATGGCCCAGGAAGAAAACCCACCCCGGTGGGGCTTGATTCGTAAGCTGCAGCCCAAACATCGATGGCTGGCTAGGGGGAGAAATCCCCCCGTCCCCTTGATGCTGGCTGGATTGACTTCCCCATCCTGGTTGAGGGCCCATCTGTGCCCCAGGGAGGAGGGGTGCTGCTGTTGGTCTTGCTCCAGAAGCAAGGTGTTGGCCTGACCCGCTTGTCACTGTATGGAAGGAACATNTATAAAAATCAATTGTAATCCAGAGTGACCATGAGGTGATCAAAGGTTAAAAAAAAAGAAAAAAGGAAGGAAAAAAGTCAATTATAATGCAAAGTGACCATGGGGTGGTCCAAGGTAAAAAAAAGTAAAAAGGTAAAAGAAAAAGAAAACAAAAAGGCCGAAAAAAAGGGAAGAAGATTCTGTGGAAAAAAAGCCAAGAGTAAAACAAGAAGGCAAGACGGAGACAGTGGGTAGATCTACTATCAAAAATGTGAGAGGGAAAAAGAAAAAAGAAAAAAATATAAAAGAGAACAAAAATCTTCAATCTTTTCTATGCCATAATCCAATTAAAAAAAACCCAAAATTGAAAACAACCAGATAGGGGACCCAACTTCACAGCAAAAAGAAGTAAACACTGCCACCAGCAAAAAAAAAGAAAGAAAAAGCAAGTTTCAAGGTTTCTTGTAAAGTTAAAGCTCTCTAAGCAAAAGAAAAATAAATTCAAAACTTTTATAAAATTAGAGCCTTTCAAGATCACTCCAGGCTTACTCTTACAGTTGTTATCTATTCTCTCCAACTCCTCTTGTTATTATAGCAGGCAGAGGCACTCTCTTTTCCCTTGAACTCCTGAACACTGTAATCTGAGGCCAATCTTCTTTGGCAGTGGGAAAATCAGGTTCTTACAGATCAGCTGATCCCCTGTAGCTGTCAGATCTCTGAGCCTAACCCAAGTAAAAGATTATCTTGACTCTTCCCTGGTTCCATTGCGTTCTCACATCAAGGAGAGATTGGTGGATGAATTCCTGCTGGCAGGTGATATTTAGGGGAGGCGAAAGAAACAAATCTGGGGCAAACGATCCAGTTTTGTTTGTAATGAACATCATAAATAACGATAGCACCTATTCCTAGCATCATGCCTTTGGCATGATAGGGATGTCCATTGAGCAGAACAAATGATATACAAGTATATTCTTCCATTGGCTTAAGAACTAATGGAAGGCATTTTAATTTGATTCTCAGAAAGAATCTCTGATTATCTATCTCCCTGTTAATAGCATTCTTTCTGTTAATAGCATGTTTTGAAGATTCTTTTCCATGTACTGTATATGGTGGTATCTGAAGGTAGGAGGCCTTCAAAACAGGAAAAACAGCATTTGTGGCAGCACAATGGAAGCCCTGCCCTTTTATACATGTGTACAATGTCAGCACATATAAAACTGCCATCATTCCTGTTTTAACTCCCTCTGCAATTGCTACTTCATGCAGGAGTTTATCAGATACCATTATGATTAATAAAGTATAATACTGCACAATGAAATATGTGTGTTTAAAAATGAACGCATTTACATCAAGATACAAGATAATCAAAATACGTAGTATATTCCGCTGCCTGTGCATTCTTTAAATGATTATAAAACCTCATAACTTACTTCTGCTTCCTTCTTCTTCTTCTGCAGTTTTTGGTCTTCAATCACTTTGTCTGTCTGCTGTGGAAGTGGTTTTGGAATCTGGATAACTGCTGCTTGAATCTTGGCCATGATTTCATTCTGCCTGCGTTTTTCTGCAATTTTCTAAATATTCAAAGACAGTAAATTGTATTAAATTGGTTACTGAATAAAAATTAATCACATAGAAGTGTTTTTAAAAATCCTTTCTCAATCCTATGGTGATATGCATCTTCCTCAGTTTTGGGTCTTCTCCCAAAGGACTGGGAATTTGAAAGTTCTGTGCAGTCCTAATTATTCCTAGCACTGCAATCTTCCGGATAGAAACATTGATCCTGGGATCTGTTTGGAGCCACTCTCCCAGCTTAGGAGTCACGATCCTGAATGCTCCTATCACCACTGGGACCACTTTGGCCTTTACTTCCCACCTTCTAATTTTTCCTTTAGGCCCTGGTATTTCTCCAGCTTCTCCTACTCCTTCCCGATATTGCTGTCAATTGGCACTGCTACTTCTATCACCACTATTGTCTTCTGGTTCATATCTACTACTATTATGTCTAGTTGATTGGACAGTACCTGCTGTCTATTAAATCTGGAAATCCCACAGGATCTCAGCCCTCCTGTTCTCCAGTACCTTCTGTGTGCTCTCCCATCTGGACTTGCGGGGTCTAGCCCATATACTATGCCAATTACACAATGCCACTTACTTGATTTTGCCATTCAGTGTATGCTGTTCCTGTCAATACACTGCCACTATGTATTGGACTGTTCTTGAGGCATTTCTGCATAGATCCTAGGGTGATAGACCTCTACGGACATGGTGCTTAATGCCTGTTTTTGTGTTGTTGCGATCAGTGCCACAATGCTGCCTTTTAGTCCAGCTCTTTATAGTAACTGGTAGGATTTTCTAATGTCTACTACCTTAGCTATCTGTCAGTGTACATCTTCTTTAGTCTTATCCTGCCATGGTGCTTCCTCTGCTTGATCTTCCTTCTATATCTGCTGCTGCCTCAGACATTCTCTTAGCAGCTCCTTTGGGTGCCATCTTACTGATGCACTCCTGGATGTTCTGAGTTTTGTCCAGGAAAGTGGTTTTAACTAGTCTCACTACGATGAATAAGTGTCATTCATTCATTCATTCATTCATTCATTCATTCATTCATAATAATCTAATAAGGCTAGGGAGTGGATTATTATTGTTATCTGTATTATTATATGAAGATGAAGCTATGGATAAGATAAAGGTAAAGGTTCCCCTTGCACATATGTGCTAGTTGTTCCCGACCCTAGGGGGCGGTGCTCATCTCAAAGTTTCAAAGCTGAAGAGCCAGTGCTGTCCAAAGATGTCTCTGTGGTCCTGTGGCAGGCATGATTAAACGTCAAAGGTGCACGGAACGCTATTACCTTCCCACCAAAGTGGTCCCTATTTTTCTACTTGCATTTTTACATGCTTTAGAACTGCTAGGTTGGCAGAAGCTGGGACAAGTAACAGGAGCTCATTTAGTTACATGGCACTAGGGATTTGAACCGCCAAACTGCCGACATTTTAGATCGACAAATTTAGCCTCTTAGCCACTGAACCACCGCATCCCCAAAGCTATGGATATGTGGGTGCAAAAATAAAACTGTACAATAGGGCTATATAATTTTAAGGCCAACTTTAATATGACTCTTTCACATGTTTAATAATTTAAAATATTATCCTCTTATCACATACAAACTCTATGGGATTCCACCAGGTTCAGTGCTCTTTCCCCCTCCTATTCAACATCAACATGAAACTGCTGGATAAGATTGTCCATTCCTATGGAGTGTATTGATAATACCCAATTATGCCTTTCTACCTCTGACAACTTAAATGATACTGATGATATCCTATCCCAGTGCCTGGAATCTAAGGGACCCAGACGGGCTCTGGGTTTTAGAGACTATATTATCTTTGGTGCTGCAAGATTATACTGCCCTAAATAGATCCAGTGCATAATTTGGGAGTCTTCCCAGACACCCAACTCCTGCTCAAAAAGCAAGCAACAGTCATGTCTGGGATGCCTTTGGACAGATTTGTATTGTGCATACATATTGGTACATATTGTGTCTCTTCCTGGAGAGGGAGGCTCCGATCACAGTCACTCATGTGCTGTTATATGTGAAGACATACAGTTCTTCCCATAAACAGTGATAGTTTAAAGTGTGTCTGGGGTATCTCTTGATGCATAAATCTAAGTGCATGCTAAATAATCAAGTGCTTTATGTAACTATTTCTGATTGCAATTTGTGTAACATTGTCCCATATCCTCTGGTAGATAATACAATTTCCCCTGCTTTTAATGGCATAGGATACAATCTTAACCAAAAGGTACTCTTTCAAAAGGCAATTGGACTTTCTTTGTTTTTGTTTTGCCTGAAGATGTTTTGCTTTTCATCAGAAGCTTTTTAAGTTCAGAAGATTCTTGGCTGAGAAGCAAAAGTCTTCAAGCAAAAACAAAGAAAGTCCAGTTGCTTTTTGATACAGCACCTTTGGGACAACCGTGATTGGATGACTGACAATAGACAATACAATCTTAAGTACCTCTTTTCTGAAGTCTCTCTATACACCATTCTTTCCCATCCTGGCCCCTTCAGATGCATAAAAGCTGCAAGACCTAGAAAGTCCAATCACCCAGGGAATTTTTTAAAAGAATTCTGGGACATGTTGTTCTGCCATGTCTGGAGGGGCATGAGAGTGATGGAAGTAAAGCTATAAAGACCAATTTACTAATACACCTGGCCTCTGATTAACTACAAAGCAGGGAATAAAGATATTGTGTAGCTGAGTCAGAGAAAGAAATCAGTACTCACCTTTTCAAGTTCTTCAACCTTTTTTCCCTCTTGGATCTGTTTGGCCTGCTGTTGCTTCACCAATTGCATCTCAACTATCTTACTTTCTAGGAGCTTTGCTTTGCTTTGAAAGCTGTCTGAAATTTGTTGGAGTGAGAGGTCAGCCTGGCGGGGTACTAGTGTTTTGAGTCTCTGAAATGAAATGAGACAGATATATATATGTGACTTTAAATATATATATATATATATATATATATATATATATATATATATATATATATA